ACTCTGACTTAACTTGAAAATCCTTTGTTGTTGAAGGGACATTGCGACGTGTTTTGACCCCTCTCGGGTCTTCATCAAGGCAAGTATTGTCAAGAAGTCACTTTTTGCTATCAAAGAATCTCTGACTCCGCACAGAGAACAATGACTATTTGCAGTCCTTTGTAACAGATGCATGTTTAGAGTTGGTTTGCGCTCTTGCAGCTGCTTGTTAGTGTGTTTGGAAGTGTGGAAGTGGCCCACAGCACTGGGCTCCGCAGCGCTGTGCCAACATCAGCTCTGGAAGCGGCGCACACTGAGCCACAGCATTAGACAACAACAGCAGAGATACAGTATACACAACGTCTCACACAAGTAGGGCAGTCTCACAGGGACGTGCCCCTCCTCCTGCTCTCGGCTGGTGCTGTCGTCCTCAGCCTTACATTACCAGAGACCGCTAATGTACCTACGCCAGAGATGGTTATGGTGCTGTCATGTCGCCCTGGATTTTACACATACATTTAACATCTATGGACACACAACAAGAAGCATGTAATATTGCACAATTCAGCAAAATAAAATTGAAAATGCAACTTTTGTGGTGACAATTTGTTAATTGAGACCTTTTGAGTGAGTATAATTCAAAATGTCAATTCTCTTCCATCTTGTAGTCGGACAAAAGTATTATTTTCTCATTCCAATTGAGACATCTCATTATTTACATAAGCCGGAATGTGCACAAGACTTGAATTCAAGCGTTATATATTCTAATGTAAAATCTGAATTTAATTTTAATATGTTAGCAGTGAACCTTAAATTCACTGCCAACATGACATACAGTAGATATGTAGGATTTTTTAACTATAACTATTTAATTTGTTATGTTTACTCTGAACAAAAATACACTTTTGAATCACAATGTGGGTCATCTTGGTATTGATCAAATATTCTCTCTCATTGTCCATGAAAATAGATCAAATATTGGCATAAGTATGTGGTCAATACTAGGCTGTATGTAAAATGTATAACAAAATCTTTTATACATTGAGTTGAGTTAGTTCATTGACGCTACAGGGCTAATACATTCTATAGTTTTCTAAGCTGTAAACATTTGAAGTGAAAATCCTCCATAAACTCACTCCATTTCCCTATATCACTTACAGTAAGTGCAAACACAAGATCTAAAAACACACACCCTTCAAACACAGACTGCCTTTCACGTCCACATTGCCTAAGCTTGAGGATATTATATGGTATGAAATGTTGCCTGTGTAAGCATTTAGGTTTGTACACATTAGTGAAGAGGGGTGGGGTAATAAAGTGACTGAGATGAAAACTTAATGGCCCCTTCCCCTTTATTAATGGATAGAGTAGATGTGTGCACCAAACTGCCACATTGTAACTCAGAACAGGGCGGTGGGGGCTAATTGACTCGCTGGTGACTGACTAAGCAGCTAAATAATTCTATTTTAGTCAAATTAGCCTTAAATACAGCATGACACTTCACTGCCTTTGACACTGCATCAAACAGAGCCGATAGTCAACAATTTTATATAAATTTTTTTTCCATATTGTAATCTTGCAAATATAATATCTTACTTATTTTACTTATAAGTAAGATTATTATTATTTTACTTATTATTATAAATTAACTACATTTGAAATTGCAATACTAAGTTAAAATTGGCGCATTAATTCCATGGGTCCACACCGTAGACTGTAAATATTAACGGACGAAGTCACGCCAATCGCCGGCGTTCTAATTAATGTGCCACAACTTCCGCGGCCTATGGGCAGTTTCAAAATGGCCACGGGGGCTGGAAAATGTGAAAAAACGCATCTGCGCATGCGTCAGCCGGCATGAGCCCCATTCATTTAACGAGTGCCTTCAGAAAAAATTCACTCCCCTCAGCATTTTCGTTTTCAAGAGGTCAGCTAATGCTATGTGTTAGCATTGAATAATTCTTATTCCGGGTCCACCCCATTGGCCCGGGTGGTATTGCAAGCATGTCAGCCCAGGTCATTTTGGCCACTTTTGAGCCGGGACCCGCCCCCACTGGTCAACACACTTCTGTATTCTTACACGTGATCACATCCAAGGCATCGTTCCACGGCAGATTGTCGCAAAAAATACAAATAAAATGTGCATCACAAACTCGTAAATGATTGTGGACCAAAATTAGAGGAGTGGGCGTGTGGTGGTGGGCGTGGTCAGAGGAACAAGCTTGAATGGCTTTAAAAACAACAGTGAGTAAAAAACATGACACAAAACAAAAAGTCAATAATACATGCTGTGTCCCCTTTAATGAATATTCAATGGGAATGAGAGAAGAACACATTGCTTAAAGGGGACATGATGGGATTCTGTTCTCTATATCATATTATATGACTTTTTGCCTGATTATTAAATATTTAGTTCATATGAAATCTTAATATTGAGCTAAAACGATGTTATAAAAGAAACAAGTGGCACGCTTCCTGATTCAGTCCGGAGGAGTGTCTTTACGGACTGCCCTTAAATGCAACGTCACATCAACGGGACCACATCACTGCAGACCACGTTACATTGTGAAAATATTATTTTCTTTGAATCAATCATGACTGCACAAGACTGGATCATCCACATTTCAAAAATTGTGAACATTAGTTGAGTCAAGGTGGCAGGAGGTCAGAGGACTGAGAGGAGAGCAATGGCAGAGCGCGTACATGAGAATCTGCAGTAAATAAATCAGAAATATGCTTGAATCGTGTTGTGAAAATGACAAGTGAATACAACTGTAACATTGTCAAAAGCTGCACATGTCCCCTAGAACGTCCACTCGGAGAGCACATACCCCGCCAACACCACAGATCGTCTCGAAATTATTGGTATCTTCCTAACATCACATCCCATTTACCCACCAAATTTAAGATCAATCTGTCTAGTATTTTGTGCCCATTTCTGCCCTGTGACAGTGACACACACACACAGGCAATTACATTACCCCCTCGTAGGCGGTGTGATGTAACGCTTGACAAATGCCCAAGGATCACTGAGCTGACTTGAGGTCCAGACTCCAGCATCACAAACTGGGGAAACTGGAGTATGAAGCCAGTTTCAGATTGACTCCAGTAATGACAATGTTCCTCTAATTTTAAACAGCAGCAGAAATAATCCAAAGCATTTAGAAACGACCACAAACCTCTGTAATCCGGTAACACCTGCGCATGTGTGAAAGTGGACCCATCTCTCAGCACATTCTACTGCCGCAATATTCGCTCAAGCCACTGCTTATTAATATCCCCCTTTCAAATGCTAATCAGGCTCCATGCATAAATCATAACTTCAGTTGTTGCTGCAATAGAACGCATGCTTTATAGATTTGTAATGGTGAAAGTTGAAGTATTCAAGATTAAGTTCTCTTTATCAGGCCATTTGTTTTGATAATTATATAATGCCTTGATCTCTAACAAGCGTATAATCACATGTTAAGTGAGTGACTATAACATATGCATTTTTATTAGGGATGGCTTTTATGTTTATTAGCATATATTTTGGATTTAAGTACCTCCCTTTTTTACATTAACTGAGAGGTCCAGCTGAACCAATATGCAACCTGGCAAATTTAGATTGGTATCAGTTAGGTCTTTATTTTATTTGTTGTGAAACAATATAGTTTTTAACAAATTTAAACCCATTTTTTTGTTGAGAGGTTATTTTATTACACAAAGGGAAGTGTCTACAAACTATTAAGAATTGTGTAAATGTCTGTTCTGAGACAAAAAAACACTATTAGATTTTCCTCTGATGGCTTTACTTCAGATTTATCAGGTTCCAACGTAAATAAAATATTGTATCTGTGCTTTAAACGACTAATCAATTGATCAGAAAAATTATATTTAAAAAAAAAATCGTTAGTTACCGCACAAGCTCGATAGTCTGACCAGCGAAAACCAAAAGTGGATTATCAAGCACAATCTCAATCACATTCACGCAAGATCTCAAGTTTCAGTGCTAGTCTATGTATCATCCAACTCAATTTTTGTAGATCGCAATCATAAATAGAAAACCCTTTTATCTATTGGGCCATGTACGAGCAGTGACAGTAGTAGATGTAAACTTATTCCACAGAATGGGTTTTGGGACTTGTAGTGAATACCGGTAAAGATGCGGAGTAATAATATCAAATAAAAAGTTGGAGGGTGAAATAAATCATAATCATAGACATATTACAGTGTATCACCATATCTTGCACATAACAATAAAGAGCAACAAGGTCACTATCACAAGATAAGAAGTGATTGCTCCCTTCAGTGGAATGTGGTCATATATTCATGCATGTGCAACGGTCAGACACAATCTCAAACTGAGTTCAATTAACGCACAAGACGACAAACTGAAGCTGGTGCTGATGGGAAGCCGTGGCCACAATAAGCAGTCATTTCTCTGCCACTTTAAAAGGCTTTGATGCGTCGGGCATGCTGTGCTGCAGATGTATCTCTGTGTGCTACACCCTCTCTCATCAATGAATCAGTTCTCATCCTGACTGAAATCAACATCATAAAATCCACCCAAAAATCCAAACGAGAAAGCATCAAAATCAGAAGGATGTCGTGTTGTTTTTCAGCATGTCATGTATGGGGCATGCTGTGTGAATGAGCCCAGAAGAGATTTATCACACTGTGACAGAGCTCTGAGCCAGTGTCATTTGTCACAACAAGCTCCAATATCAGCTTAGGCTCAAGTCATTTGCACACCTTTACTAATGAGTCGTGAAGGGGAGATTCTGTAAGACAATCATTCTCATGCACATTCTTGTTTGAGACTCTGAAACCAAAATAAACTATTGGAGAAATAATCTTATGATAATTAAGACAAAAGAGGAATTAGATACAGACTATAACTGGACAAACCAAAGACAGATCTAATGGAAGTGGACTGAGGTGTCCTAAGAGCAGTGTCCCCAAACAAACCCTATGGTGAGAGATCCACATGAATACTTTCTTAGGGGTTCGAAGTTGCTTCTGCTTTCCAAAAGTACCACTCAACACTTGACCTCTTCAGCCAGGGCTAAACAGGAGTTTATAAACAAGAACTGACAGCACAAGTTGTTCGTGTGGGGCAGTCTAACATCCATGCACACGTGCCGCAGGGTGTATACAGTGTTTAGATTCAGTACCTGCCAGGAGCTGGAGGGAATCTCTGCGAATTTGCCCAATCCTCCAAAGGTGTAGCACCTGTACATGTGATCCAGGGACTCGGAGCAGTGCCAGAGCAGCCCAAAGCTCACGGAGTCCTTCTTACTGTGGCCCTGGTGCTGAGGTGGAGGGTTGGTCCTCAGCTGCTCCTTCACTATCCACGCTGGAGAGATGAAGCTGAAACTGCACACAGCCACAAGAGCGGAGGACAGCAGCACCCAGAAGCAGCCCACACAGCTGAACATGGTCGCAGCGTGGGGCAAAAAGCCGACCCCAAAACCCACTTCTTCTTCGTCTTCTTCTTCTTTCTTCTCCCGGCTGAGGAGCGGATGCATTTGGAGTTCACACCTTCAACACATCAACTTCAGCCCGCGGCCAGAAGCGCATCCGTATGTGGGTCCACATCTGCGTCCTAAACATGTGCGCACAGAACACAAGGAAAGCAAAGACTCCTCAAGTCATCCGCCCTGAACACAGCCCTGACACATGTGCCTGCATCACACCCAGCGCTGGATGCGCAGTTGTCATAGCAATGAGTGCGTCTGGGCACTTTTCAGAGAGGCGCACTGACTCCGCGCCGATGCGCACTGCACTTCTGCTCCACAGGAGCGCGGCTGAGGCTCGGCCCCAGACGCCCCAGACACACACCACTCACGTTTCCGCCCGGGACGGTCACGATAAAAGCACCGCGGGAAACTCCACTAACAGTTCCCGCGCCCTGGTATTATGTAGGATATTCCACAACCATCACCTCTAGGCGCATGAGTGCGTGCTTTAGGAACCACTCCAAGAAAATGACATGATTCTTCATGATGATGGGATCTATACGCCTCCTATTTCCGGTAACCTCCACTGCTTGACCATCCGTCATCTTGATATAATAGACTTTTTTTTTTTGAAACTCAATTGTTTTTTCGCACATATTTATATGGAACGTATCATAACTCACATTTACCCACGATTCCGGGCGAACCAGTTATATTTAGCCTTCAGAGGTGCAAACCACACAAGTGTTTATAATAAAACTAGGATGAATATCATATTTCATATATTCGTTTGGTTTACAGTATATTCTCGTGATTTTGAGCAGGATTTCAGTCTGTGTCTGATGGATTGGTGTTATTATTAAATATCCATGGTTTGTGCGAGTCCTGCACGCATGTGTATTACAAAGTAGCCAACACTGCCTCACTCTGGCCAAAGAAAGACCTACACAAAAGCAATGGCAACAAAATACAAATACAAATACAGACGAGCTGACATTTTCCGATATATGTATTTAAATCATACACATTTTAAATATATTATAGATTAAGTACACATACATATCATCAAACAAAAGTGGTACATGGTACCAAATGTTATTTTCTGGCCTCACGTTCAAAGGCTTTGATCAAATTAAAAGGTTTCTGCTGTGAGCATATTTTCCAGTTGGACTATGCAGGTCTGAAGTCCAATTTAGCGGGGCTTACAAAAGACTGACTGCATCACAACAGAAGAACACAGCAATAACCAGAAATCTAAACGTGTACATCTCAAGAACATTTAGGACATAACGCTTGGTTTCAATTACAATTAGAGCATTTTCTTCATTGGGGCGAATCTCTTCAATGCTCCTTGTGAATTGTTCATTCAGCAGCTGATTACCTCCATCCATTTAAAGTCTCTTTTCATGTTGTCTCGTAGTCCAGCACAGCCATAATAGTGCAGCCTGCGATGCTGAATAGCAGACATAACTAGTTCAACGAAGGGTTGGAGAGACAGGTGCGGTGCATATTGAAAACTGTAGAGCAGCTTTATCTGCTCTGATACATCTAAAAACAGGATGTTATAAAAAGCGGTGTAGAGGGAACCCTGCTGCCACATCCTCCAGAAGTCAGATTCAGTTCATTTGTTAATATGGCTACAGTGCATTGGTGTGAGCTCCACCAGCACCATGCTTTGTCCATCGTGATATCAGGTTTATAGTTTCACAGTTCACATGTGCCCGGCCCGCCGTCACTCAGAGCTGCACACAGTACTATCAGACTGAAGGAGGTCAAAGGAATACAACGCTTGGTTTTCTTTTGGAGTGATGCAACTGAGCACAGTTGAGGAGTTTCTCTCTGTTTATGGAGTGACTTTGGGTCTTTTATTGGGGTCATAGCTGAAAACAAACACAAAATATCAATATATAAAGCATTGATTTTTATGTACAAGGTTCAACCCAATGCAGTTCTGTCAGTCAAGCACTCATTAAGTGCATAAATAAATAGATGTAATGTTGTTGACTGCTGTAAATATTATTATATGTGACTTATTGTACATGTACCATTCGACATTACCTTTGTGGACTTGACAGGACTGTCATGGTTACTCTGATGGACAACGTCATTGACTATCATCTTTGCGATTTTCCAAGCCATCTCCTCCTGGGCCTTAAGCAATCACAAAGAGAAAACCATTTATTTCTGCACAAGTTTGTTCAACAGCCACAATATCTACCATCATCTCACCTCATCAGAGTTGCCTTGGACCCACTTCTTCATGGCTTGAGAAAACATTGACCCTGAGCAGAAACCACAAATACATTTATTTTCAATGTTACATTGTTTGACAAATACACATTGGATTTCTGTTGGCTGGTTTGTTGCTTTCTGCCATCTGGATGGTACCCAAGTAAATTGGCCTGTGTTCTCTGTGGTCGCGTTTTTGTGGATAATAAACCATAATTCCATTTTCGTTTTTACATAATTTGCATACAGATAAAAAACTAAATCAGGACCAGTTTTCATCATTCAATATCCCTATTATTTCAAACATTGAATTCTCTGTACTTTAGTCTGGTTAGAAATCCCATTTATGATGCAGCGCCTAACAGATGAATTAAAAATAGTGTTGCATTTCATCGTTGAGTTATACCAAGTTTTATAATTTTAATAAAATCATCCCTGTACGTTAGAATGTTCATTTATCAATGGGGTATTTGTTCCATACAACCCTCTTCATTTCAATCTGGAATTGACACATGAGAGCTTGAGGTTGTTATTACTCTATAGAGCCTCCAGAAACACTCTCAAAGACACTTTTCTATCATACAACCCACACGTCTCAGATTTAATGACAGTGGAGAAAATATCTTTAATATTTTAGTAGACTCCCATCTGTTATTGGAGTGAAGGCAGCCACTACATGAAATGTATATTCCAAAGAGAAGAGCTATTTATGCTGAATATCCAAAGAGATATACACAGAATTTACATTTCTGCAGCATTCCTAATTATAGAGGTAACGCGTGGATTTTCAAAATGCTAAAAAGGATGGAACAAGACTGACAATTGTTGCAGCAATTTATAAACAACAGGATTAATCTAAGATCAAGGCTCCAGTGTGGACTCACCACCTGCAGGAGGATCAGTGAGGGGCTGGTGCAACTGTATGTGTACTGGGTCCTTAATGCATGTGGAGAAATTCTGTATGATTAATAATTATGGGAGTTTTTTTTTATTTTTATGATTCTTTAAAAACAAAATCATGCATCGTTTTACCTGCAACTTTTTTGTGGTCTTTCACTATAAAAAATAAAATATTCTAAAATAAAGTCTTATGTGGTCTTAACAAAACAACTAAAGTTCCAGCTGTTTAAACTTTGGCATGGAACTGTATATGGCTCCTTTCCACTGTGCCGAGAAGATCTGAAAGAAAAAGTCCGATCTTTATGCTCTGGCAGAAGTTTTGTAATCGCTGCAGACCGTCAAAATAAAACCCTCATCATGTTCGGTCCAAATGACAAAACCTTCTCTTGCGTGAGGAATGTTGTGTGAGACAATCTATCACAATCTATCACGTATGAGGTCATGACAGTGTTTTTCTGTGGTCTGAAACTTTTGATCAGCTGACAAACTACAAAAAAACACCCCCATGTCTTATTTTTATATGTTGAAACTATACACTGAAACTTTTCCAAAACCTAGAAAAAGGGTGAAATGTATTGACTAGATTAGGGGATTTGAGGGTAGAGAAAAGTGCAGTGACTCGGTGGTAGTGAAATAGCAGTGTGTTTATTGTACCTTTGGATTTCTTCACATCTGGTTCAGGCTCGGCCTCTCTGATGAACTGACCCAGCTCATTTACCTTTCCAAACGTCATCTTTCTAAAGACAAAAGGGGAAAATGAATTGACATTCGCCTCAGGCACAAGGATACAAGGGTTTGGATGTTTTGTGTTTGGAGACAAGGCGGTTGTTAGGGAGATATTTCAATAAAACATAATGAAAACTATGTCAGGTCACCTTTTTGTCCCTCACTGGCTCATGTCCATTTAGCTGCTGGTGATTACATTACATGTAACCATTCACTAGTAGCATGCTTTTATCTGTATTATCATCCACCATGCGTAGCATACAAAGAATGACTAATTCAGCACTATACTAAAATCGATACGTACCCAGCGTATGGCCTGTGGTACAGTGTCTCAGGGTCCAGGCTCGCAGCATCCACTGTTATAGCCTCATCAAAGTTTTTCAAGATCTTTATGGCGGTCTTCTTAGCACCTTGCTGAAGAGATAACATAATATTACAAAGCAGTTACTAATTGAACTTCACTCCACCCCACAGCCAGCAGTAAATGTCAGGGGTTCAAGGTTATGAGCATGGCACATGACTGAGTCACCTGAGTCTGAGAGCTCTCGTTGGCATTTGAACTAGAGCGCTCATTGTCGGCCGCCCCGCTTTGACCCGAAGAGCTGACATTAACAAACTCGTCTGCCCGCACAGAGTTGATGAGGTCACTCAGGTATTTATAGTAAAGGTTGCTGGAGAGGAAGCCCGGCATGTAGACCTGGACATAGACCATATCAAATAATGAGCATCCTTTTGTCCAAGCACACATTAGCTGCAGATATGTGTGTGAAACATTGTTCATTTGGACTGTTAATCTGCCAGGTGAAGTGGAGCAGCCAAGCAGGTAATATAAGAAAACAGAATCACTATCACATTGAACATAATCTATTCTTGTATACAATGAATTGTTCCTCTCTTACTTATTTCTGCAATGATATTGGAAATTCTCTGAACCAGTGGTGAAATACTTTGACATTGACTTATTCAAACCATCATACTACTTCAAACTTTAAGAGATAGATTTAGCTTCCAATAAAAGAGCCACTGACTGATGGGATCAGTACTTCCAATGCACTAAAGATAGTGATCCCGACCTTCTCCATGGTGGTCCAGGCTTGTCGAAGTGGAGTGGTGAAGCAGTCAGGCAGAGGCCCGCCCTCTCTGCATATGTTAGACTCAATCTCCATCCGCACAGAGTCGCCAAAGCCGAGAGGATTTGTGGCCTGGAGTGAGAAATACCTTCAAGACAAAACATGCAATTATTTGCCAACAGTTTATCAAGAGTACTTATTGCATTTGTCGAGTTCATACTTGTCATAAAGAATCATGGCATCATTCTGAGCCTCTTGGCCATCATACTGGCCTTTCTTAGCAGCCAGTTGGTTTTGGAAGTTGTCTGCAGCGAGCCAGAACTGCAGCACATTCATGGCCTCCTCCTTCTCCATATACTGTCATTAAAATAAGCACAGGAACATTTCCTAACATTTATTCTGCAATATTCTTCTGAGGTCAAGTTGAACATCTTAGTTCAATAATTGGTTTTATAAAGCTCCATAGATGACAAGACCACAAGTAGACCAAGCAAGGCCCTCGGGACCACTCACCTCAGAGAAGTAGAAGAGCGCTGACTCACAGAATAAGATGTCAGCCAGGAACACTGAGCCACTCGTCAACACCTCAATCTGGTATTTACAGAAATGGTGGCTCCGCAGGAACTCAATAAAGTGCCTACAATGAACGAGCAAATGTTAAAGTCAATGTGTATCAAAGAGGAAACACTTGCTGTGAAAGTTAAAAGCCAAACTCACTGTTGCTCCATGATGTTAAATATCACAGACTGTGCAATGACAAAGCTGTTGGGGTCCACCAGGCCATCCTCACCACAAATCTTAGCTTAAAACAAACTCATTGTTTTAGTATGAAGGATTTATTTGTTAAAATTGTCATTTGATGTCACTGTATTCTTACCAACAATGTCGTTTCTAACTTGGTCAGTGATGGGAATGGGTCGTGCCGCATCTGGAGAGACGTACTTAGTAAAGATTGTAACAGCATCTTTTTCAATACCTGGAAAACACACATTTATGGAGTATCAGACTGTACTGAGGAAACCACACTTAGGAGTGCAATGTCCATGAAAAAGCATAACTTACTCTTCATGAGTTTGTCTGAGAGGTGGTGTAGTGTGCTGGAGGCCTGCCCCTTTAAGGGGGTGCTTGTTTTGGATGCCATGTTCTTGCTGGGGGTTTCGGCTCCAGGCCTCAGTCCGGGTTCTGAGCCGGAGGGTTCTGGACGCTCCCACGTCTCAGTGAGGCTGTCAAAGCTGTCCTCGGGTGTGAGTGTGCTAGTGTTAGCCTGAGCTAGATCAGAGGGATCAGAGGAGTCCGGACCGGAGGGGACAGGTTCAGCCAAAGAGCTGTGTTTGACAGAGTTCAAACTCTGAGCGCGAACACGAGACCAACTTGTGGAGCGGAAATTCTCTGCCTCTTGCCAAAACCGAACGAGGTGATCAGCTCCTCGAAGCGCCATGAACTGGGTGTAGTGCGGCATGGCCACATTATCCCGGAGAATTTGGTCCACAGTCTTTGACATACGAGAGCGGGTCTCCTGAGGCTGATAGTTGACACTGGAATGACCTGCAAATGCAGAAAACGAATTCTATCAAGCTGAAAGATCAAGGCTGTAACATAGAGCAGCCGTCTTCCTGTGGACTCACCACCAGCAGGAGGATCAGTGAGGGGCTGCTACTATGTGTAATCTCTGGCCACCCCCCCGACCCAGAAATTGACTCAGGGGTAGAAAATGGATGGATGGATGGATAATTATATCAAATAGTATATTTTGCCTAAATGATACACGTGATATATAATTTGTATAATTAGACAATTCAAGCAAGGGTTATAGAAGATCTTGGAATAGGTGAAAGGAAATGTTTCTCTAACACAACAACCCAAGACTATGCATTCCACGGTGAAAATTACTACCCATCAAGGACACAAGAAAGTGAGATTAACAACCCGACTCGAGCAGAATATCACCCTGAACCTATTCCCACAAAGTTTTGATAAATGTTATGAAAATGATCAGTGATTTTCTGTCCACAAAAAGCTCTATAGACCAATAAAATATGAATGCACATATTTTTATAAAATACTTATCACCCAAACCCCTTGTAATTTATGTATTAAAAATAAAATTAAGTTAAAAAATAATTACAGTTTTTTACCAATGAACATGTATTTTAAAAAGATTGATACAATTTCTCCTTTTCCAAAGTTTTCTTTTCAGCGTCAGACGGTCAGTGTTGTTCACTTCATGGTGCTGCTGTAGCACAGGTTCCTCCACCTCTGACTCATCCCCAATTCTCTGGACAACTTGCCAGAGCAGTTTCTGCTGCTTTAGTGATCAAGATATAATAAGTATTGCAGTAATAGATCTAACAATAGGGCAGTGTTGACAAAAGCAACGTTTCCTACTGACTTTGTTTAACAGAGTCAACATTGCTCATCAAAATGCTTCACCTCACAGGATTAATGTTGAGTGTTTGCCACTTTGACCACTGTGCTGCAATAACTCTGAAGGAACTGTGAGATTTCATAACACTTTTAAGCAACTTTTGTTAAAGTTAAACTCATCATTCTATCAATGTGCAGAAGCCAGTACTTTTCCCTTGTTTTGTCTATCTGAAGGCCAAGCTACATGGCACTGTGGCAGCTGCTGATTGGAGGTCTCCATGCCTCCGCTCTGTATAATACACTTTCATTCTGTGTTTGTGTGCTTTGTTCGTGCTGTCTCTACCATCGACAATAAAACATGTCTTCTGTCTGAATTTATGACACGATCCCAGACTTTGTCATCTTCTTCAGGTGGTGGAAGGATGCGGGCCTTGTCTGTAACATCTAGAGAACAGAAGACTATTTTTTTTACACAAAAATGTGTTTTTTTTTAAAGCCAAAACTGAGAAACCTCAAGAGAAACCATACATCTGGATCAGCACACATGGACTATCTGCACAGCCCCTGATTCCAGTCAGGCTGTGAGCTGCTGAGACATGGACAATACCATCGTCCTCTTTTGCATGGACATCATTTGGAACAATTGGATTTCTGAATTTGGACATAATTTGGACTGAATTGGATTACTGAATCTGGACACTGAAGCTGAAACGTGTGATTGAAAGACACGTCACAGAAGAATTCACTGCTATGGCTCGACACAAATGCAGCCTGAAGAAACCAACACAGAGAAGTGGGAGAGACTGTTTTCAAAGCAATATCTGAGAACCACCATCGACTGATGAAGTTTGGTATTTTGCTGAAGATTGTTGACAAGTTTTATGAAAGATCTGAACATGTTTTATGAGTTTTATGAGTTTTGTAAGTATTCCGAGTTCTGAGTTTTTTGAAGTACCGAATGAAGTACCGAGTTTAAGTATTGAGTTATGATGTTATGTTGCTGTTTATCGATCCTGATGGTCACACGTGAATGTGTGACCAGAGGGGGGAATGTGAGATTCCATAACACTTTTAAGCAACTTTTGTTAAAGTTAAACTCATCATTCTATCAATGTGCAGAAGCCAGTACTTTTCCCTTGTTTTGTCTATCTGAAGGCCAAGCTACATGGCACCGTGGAAGCTGCTGATTGGAGGTCTCCATGCCGCCGCTCTGTATAATACACTTGCATTCTGTTGTTCGTGCTGTCTCTACCATCGACAATAAAACATGTCTTCTGTCTGAATTTAAGACGCGATCCCACGCAGCCGCCCCACTGTGGCATCAGGTGTTCCCAGAGGTTAAGTGTCTTGCCAAGGACACAACGACAGCAGACAGTGGGAGTCGATGGTGAAAGTCGGGCTCGAACCCACAACCTTCTGGCTCAAAGGCCAACGCTCTACCAACTGAGCTGCTGTCGCCCACAAGCTAGTCTCTGGTTCAAGAAAGGATTTTTATTTTACCTTGGTGCCTAGGATTTCCTCTTTTCTTACACAAAAACTGTATTTTCCAGTCGCCGTGGTCCAAAACACAAACAGACCTTTGATTGTGACTAGTTTAATTGCCATTTATTTATTCAAATAATGAACAGAAGCCCTGATTAGTGGCTTTGAAAGTGGGATGGGCAAATTCAGAAAGCCTTTCCGAGTATTAAATGCCAAAAAGATAATAATTGAATTTGCTATTTGAGGGAAGTCAAGTTACATATTTAATAAACGCCTAAAATAAATGGATTCATCACACTTGACTTTCAAAGTATTTGTCTTCAGGGTTCTAACCAGGATTAAATCCTGCCAGAATATGAAACAATAATTATGTTACCATTATTATCATTTTATCAAGTTATCATTTTTAATATGAACATAAAAATATTTAATTTTGCAAGTTCTAAATTACTATTAATGCAAAAACAGTGATTTGTGGGGTGGGAAAACCTTTACAAACCAGTCTCGGGAAAGGATTTGGCCCAGTATTCATGATATTGTCTCCAATTGGAAGCAAACCATGTGTACAGTACATGAATCTACTCTTTTAAGCTTTTAAACACTATAAGGTTAGGATCCACATGCAGAAGTTCATTTGTTAATACAGTAGTTGCCATGTACCCAGATCTCCAAAGTGCGCTGCCTCCATGTGGCTGGGCTGTTTCTTGAGGATGGCGGTCCGTCCGCGAGCAAACGAGTCCATGTTTGCAGAGATGGCGTTGATGGCCACAGGGCTGGGTCCGGCCACATCCTGGGGAACATTGTGGTTCCTCAGTCCCAGCGAGGGGGAGCGTGTGCTGGTAGGTGCTATGGACAAACATGGAATAGTTTTTTTTATTTTTTAAACATATTGAGTGCTATACAATTACCCCTTTCACCCTTTCACCCCGTCATAAAAAAGACATGCTCACCTCTGTTCACTTTAGCATCAGTCACTTTCTCTTGTTCTTTGGTTTTGGCTGAAAAAAGAATAACATTATAGAGCAGATAAACCTTACAATGAAGAGTTTGAGACAGTGAGAGCAAGGATCCATTTAGGTTAACTCGGTTGGAATCAAGAACAGAATGCTAATAGTTACACAATTCTTCTGTTTTAACTTTGATCCTGTTTTGCATGTAGATGACATAAATGGAGTCACTTTAAGTAGTTGTACGTAGGCTACATAATACATGTATATATTGCTAGTAAGCAGGTAAAAATTAATTCACTGTGTTGGTCAAAATACGAAATTATGCAATTATTGATATAGACGACAATCTCCATTCCACCTATTTGGAAAACACCAACCTTTGACTATAGTTTATGTAAAATAAGTTTCACGTTTCAGTCCATATTTTATAGTGCTGGTCTGTTTCCTCATTTTTCTGCCGTATCAGCTGATTCAAACACACTTATTAAGGGGTGTGCTCATAAAATAGTATTCGTGCTCTGACAGGGGATGATCTTTACTTTTGATCAGAAAAATTCTCATTTTATAGGACACAAAAAAAAAAGACCGGATCCATTCATTCAAGCAAAGACGAGTTAAAGCGTTAGGCGATCAGAGCTGGCCATAACAAAAGACAGACTTACAGCAGACTTGTTGACCTAGCATTCAGGCAGTGCCAATTCAGAGCTTTCACGCTTTTTGCAACTTGGTGAGATGTGAGAATTAGAAGGCCAGTGCTAGGCTAGCAGAACAGCACCGGACTGAGGGAGCAGTGTCAGGGGAATCCAAAACAACAAAACAATAACCTTGTTTAATGTCACTCCTAAGCGCAAGCGCGTCATTTATATCTTATTCCAGAGGTGAGTTGGCATTGCAGCTTCTTCCTTACCTTTCCTCTTGAAAAACGACATGACGGAGCTCACACTGGGGGCCTCTCCTCAGCTCAGAGACACCATACCGGAACCACACGGGAACCTTCATCCAAGTGCGTCTGTCCCCAAACGGCAGCCCCGGCCCCGGAGGATGCTTAAGCCCGGTCCGTGCTGTCAATTTAGATTTTTCTCTGAATCCAAATCCAGCTCCGCGGCCATGTTGTCAATAAACGCCTTACTTCCGGAACAGTGCGGCAGCAGGATTGTGGGAAATGGTGTGAGAAGCTGTAGGCGCGAGAAGCCGCGAGAGGGCGCTGTGGAGCTGCAGGTTCTGGCTGTCGTTGTCGTTGGACTAATGTCTGAAGTTATACAATTATAATTATATAATTATACGAGGCACATTTTATCTACACACATTTACGTGTATGATGCGTTTTTAATTATTGTGTTGAATATTTTAAGTCCTTAAAAATTAGTTCAACTAAAAACAGGAGAGCTTGCTTTTAGTATTTTTTATGCCATCTCTCTCTATAAAAATGTCAAATATTTTTAGCAACATAGTTGTCTAGATATTGTTAAAAAATGACATTTAGCGAGCATGTAACAGGAATCAGATGCAAAAACTGTATCGCCATTTTCGGTGATTGGCAAAATAGGAATTTTATTATCAAATGGTGAAAAAGATAAAAGATGTATCATATTGTCATAAAATTGGATTTATAATGTACAATATACATGCGTAAAACTACTATATTTAATAAAGTATTACCAGCGTTTGTCTGTGAGCTCCATAACTAAAAAAGTTATAGGAGGATTTAGACAGAGTTCTATCAGAAGTGATGGATGAAAGTATTAAATGTTGAAGGTGATCCGAATCACTGAAATGATGTAGGATTTCCATAACTATGTTATGTTGCTCACGAACAGACACATAAACAAACACCAGTGAACCCATTACCTCCTGGTCAGAGGTCACACTGATTCAGGAAATTCAATGATTGCACTGTTTGTTAGTTATTTCACTGTTTTTACAGTTTTCAATCTCGGCCGACCCCATGTGTCTCCTTGGGCCTATCAATGCGGTACACATATTCTGCAGGCATGAAGTAACCCACATACTCCACTATGTCTGGAGTTGTGTCGATGTAGTAGTGCCCCCCTTCTCCGTGATGGCTGAAGATGTGAGTATGCTCTACTCTCAAGTCTAAACCCTGGGAAAGGAGAAAGCAATCTCATAAAATAAACAATATAGATATTCACATGTACTGTCTTTTGGGTAGTTGGGAGTTGTCTTTACTTACTGGGTCTTTGGACACAAGCACTGACTGGCAGATGAGAGGGGCGCTTACTTCAAAGTGCTTAAGCCAGTTGTTGACCTCATCATTACTGTTGAGTGGGCAGGCAGAGAACTCTCTTGGCTAAGAGTACAAGTTAGAATCAGTACCTTTTTAATATAAATATAAATGTGTATTTACCATTATGTGGATTTTAGCTTTTCCTTTAAGTATCATAAACGTTCCTCCAAGGGCCAGGCTTTTGTCAGGATAGTGATTTTCAAGAGACCTTCTTAGTGCATTCACAATGCTTTGGTCTCCTGTTCTCTTCTTTGCTCTGACCTCTATCACCTGTAGGGGGAGAAAGGGGCGGTAAGTAACCCATATACATGACCCGTCTTTCCTTTGTTAATGTTTATTATTTCAAAGAACTGTTTCAAGTTCAGCTATGTCATGATTATTTTGTAGTTTATGTGTAACTAATAATGACTTGCATTTTCCAGTTTCAAGAAAACAAAGTGCATTAGGTCCAATAATTCACCTTTCCAGGTTTCCCCTCACAAGCATATAGGTTTGCCATGAGACCAAAGTGGCAGCCAGAGAATTTGTCGCTGTACTTTTCTTGAAGGCACTGGTCATCGACTGGATTGATACAGGAGAAGTAGCTGCCATTAACTGCAGGTCTCCCATCTGCTGCGGTTAGAACAATAGGCATCAACTGTGAAAAGATAGAATCCATGTAAAATACTATCATCAGTTTATTGTTTTACCATGCACACCTGTTCTTGAGATGTGTTTTTTGTTACTTGGATGCCTGAATATATCAAGCTTATCTATTAAAGGCGACAGTGGCTCAGTTGGTAGAGCATTGGCCTTTGGGCCTGAAGGTCGTGGGTTCCACCATGGGACCTTCTCCACCGACTCCCACTGTCTGCTGTCGTTGTGTCCTTGGCAAGACACTTAACCTCTGGGAACACCAGGTGCGACAGTGGGGCGGCTGCGGCTGTAAAGTGCCAAACTGCCGTAGTGTCCTTAGGCAAGACACTTCACCCACATTGCCTAGAATGAGTCTGGTGTGTGTATGAATGGTTGGTGGTGGTCAGAGGGGCCGATGGCACACACTGGTTGCCTCGCTTCTGTCAGTGTGCCCCAGGGCAGCTGTGGCTACAGTAGTAGTTTATCACCACCGTATATGGAGTGAAAGAATAATGACATGTAAAGCGTCTTTGAGTGTCCAGAAAAGTGCTATAAAAAACTGATGCATTATTATAATCTGTAACTACAAATTATGTGTGTTATTGTCATGTTGGGAGTGTTGTACTTTTTATATAGAACTGTCAACAATCATTTGATTGCTAAAATACATGATTGAAAAAAGTAGTTGTGACTAAGGGACTATTTGGTACTCCACAATCAATTTCACAAAAACACATGTTCTGGGAATTACCAGACATTTTTGCCGGGTCTTTGTATTTTAGATGGTTTACTTTGGACAATTGTAATATTATAAATTAGTAGTAGTGACTCACCTCAGCATTCATTCCAACTACTCGGGAAGCAACAGCTCCTGCACCAAGAAAAAATCCTCCAGGTAACTCCACCTCTTTTGAAATAACGTTCATGTCATATTCCTGTTAAATTGGAAACATGGATCTACAGTAGTAGTTACATGGACGCCACAGTTAGATTATATATTATTACTTTGTCTTAGTAAATAATGTTACCTTTTCTTTTTTAACTAAAGGAACCAGGTAAGGCACACCACCAACATCAGTGATGCGCGGACTCCCACATAAGCCTAAAAGAAGACATACACTGAAGTACAAAAGAGTTCTAGCAAGTGACACATGACAGAATTTTAAGAATACATACCCTTGGCAGGGAATCGAAAGGGCTCCTGGGTCAAATCTGGACATTCAACCACACTGACTTGGACTTCAGCAAAGTTAGTTTGCAGCCCTGTTTGCAACACTGTAGGATCAATAAAATAAAAATAAAAACACACACAGAGTTCATTTGCAGATGGAGCATTTGGTATCTGACGTTTGCAGATGGAGCATTTGAAATCTAAACTCCCTTAGTTCTTACCAGCACAAAGTTCTTCTAAAGCTGGGGCGTGCAGCTGAATTTTCTCAACGGAGCTCATATTTGCAGCTGTTCAGTCAAAAGCACTAGTCCAGTGCATAGAGTCCAGTCGGGTCCAGCGTCTGCAGAATGTGCTAAATCGTGCCCAGATCCTGCCTGCCTCCTGTCAGGGTCCACGGTGTACACAAAGGTTCATAGTGATCAAGATAGTTAGGCACATACTATCTCTGTGCTCTGGCTACTGGCTTACTTGGATTTAACTTGTGATTTATTTGTGTCTAAATAATAAATGCATGCCTAAACTTGTGATCAGTTATTATGTAACGTTAAAGCCAGAGAATAATCCAAACAAAAGTTGAATATGAGGAGTAAGGAAGCAAAGGCGGAAGCATTTAACACATTTCTGTCTTACTTTGGTGATTGGGGATTGGTCACGTGCCTTCATGCTACACTTCCTGTTGTTAGTGCGCGTGCTGCAGTAGCCTGGTTTAATTTCACATCCATTTAAGCACCTTCGAAATGATAGTTCCTGATATTGTATTTATCAAGTACGTTAGCTTATCTAGCATTAAAGAATAAAACTACGTGTAGTGTACACGGAGCATTAATTGGGCTGAACACCAAAATGACCGCGTCTATGAAAAGCGAAGGTAGAACTGGAGATGGTCCTGGTGAAGTTGAAGAAAGGTATTACCTAAAGCTTGCATTATCGAAATATTGTGTTGTACATTTCATACACATTATTATTCATCTGTTCATATTCATTTGTTACATTTGCAGTGACTCTGAAGATAGCATTTTCTTCACCCAGAAAGTACAGAAGTCCACAGCTGATGATGCAAGTTCATCTCGTCTCAGCAGAAGATCCATCCCTATCGCTCCCAGGTTTCTTGAGCCTGAATCCTCTAGTGATGACGAATATGTCCCTAAGAAAGGGAAATGTCTCCCAGTTTACAACTTTCCTTTCATTAACCAGAGGAAAGTGCCTAAACGTGGGTCTATAAGCTCTGGCACCAACAGTGCAATTCATGTAAGAGTAGTTTGAATGTGAATTGTTTGCCTTTCAATGTTTAGCGATTGAATAACTATAATTGTCTTGCAGCATAGTGCTATGGCAGGTTTTTTTCACTGCTTTAGTGCGATGTGGCCAGAGGGCCAAAAGGAAAATTATCTCGAATTATTACCAAGTATAGATTCAGATAATGAGGAAATAACACCAATAACAGAGTAAGTAATTTGTTTTATAGTATTGTGAAGACAATGACGAGGGAAGATGCATTCATAGTTTTGCATTTCAGGGACGAAAAGTCTGATGAAGAGGATATTAAGATAATTGTAAGTATTCTATTTACTAGAGATATATCCATTAGAAATATTCCATTTTACTTGTGTGGTTGTTTTTTGTTGTTCATAGGACAAGCAGCTGTTTGTATATTCACAAAATCCTCAAATCACAAAAAGGTCACAGCCTTGGCTTAATAATAAAAGGACGGAAGCTACAAAACAAACAAAGAGGTCAAACACATGTCAATATTCTGTGGAAACAACAATGTTGAGATCTTCCAAAAACCCTGAGGTTTGTTCAAATGAACGACAGACTCCTGTGGATGGCAGTGATGTCGCATTACAGGAGGGTTACGAACCCATGGTATCAAGTAACTTTCCAACTGAAAAGCAAAGCACGTTGCAAAATGAAAGTGTGCAATTGAGCACCAAAGTTAAGAAATATACTCCTCTAGATGGTCAAAATGAAAATCTAAGTTTATTAAACCAAGAGAGCATGGATCCTTTTGAAGACGACATTACAACATGTCCTTTACCTAACCGACGTAAGGATAAAACCCCAAGGAGAACTGACTGCAATCCCTTAAATGAAGAGACTCTTCCTACAAAACTAAAGCCTGCAAGTTGCAATAACGAGAAACAAGTAAAACAATCAAGTGTAGAAGAAGAAACTGAGCTGCTTGAAGATCACAGTGATGGTGCCATGCGAAAGAGAAATAAGAAAAAACGCAAAAAGAAAAGGGGGGATCTGGAAAATGTTGAAAAATTAGCTTCATTGCAAACACTAGAGGATGGTCAATTTGAAAACATCGCTGCAGTGGACAGTTGTGTGTCAATTAAAAGTTCTGATGGAAGAAAACATAAAAGAAAGCGACAAACAGTCCGTGATTGTGAGGAGGGTGGTGTTTTGAAAGAATTGACGCCTGACGATTGTGGGACGGATGAGAGACAAGGAAATGCAGATCTTGTGAACGATGATAATGGTGGCACAGATTGTATAGAAACACAAAGTGAGAAATCTGTGAGGAAAAAGAAAAAGAAGAAAAGTCGCGTTCTTTCTGCAGAAACAGTGGAAAATGTTCCTTTACTTCCCTCATTGTCTGGAGAGAGTTGTCAAGAGGAAGGCAAACTTAGAATCAGCACAAATGGCACTGAATCAGCAGAAATTAGTAAACTGTTGCAAGAAACTGAGTTGGGTAAGAAAGTAAAAAAGATTAGGAAAGATAATGGTGATCTTTGCGAATTAGACCAAAGAGTCAAAGTAACAGAAATGTCCAAAAAATGCATTAAAAGCAAACCGTGTGGTCTGAAGAAAAGAAAAACATTTCAAACCATAGAAAAATTACCATCAGATGGCTCAAAGAATGCTGCAACGTGCCCAAATACCTCTGAAAGCTCAAACAGAAAAAACAAAAACAAAGGACAGTCTTGTGATGGGGATGTTGTGGAGACTACAGAGACAGATCTACACAAGTACAGTAACTCTGACCCAATTGTGTGCACTCCTCATGTTGAATTATCTACAGCTTCAGGTAGAAAGAAAAAGAAACGAAAGAAAATACTCTATGATAATAATGACACTTTTTGAGATTTTTTATTTTTATGTTTTACCCGGGATTTTTAAAAGAGGGTTCACGGGATGTCTGGTTACAATAAACCCTGTTTTGCAAACTCACATGCCTGGTTAAGTCATTCCGGTTTTATTTTAAAAAATGAATTACGTTTTGTTTCTATACTGTCAAATCCACAGGCCACAGCTTCTAATGCAACATTATTTTGTAAGAACAACAGCATTATCCGCACGCTCAGAGGCGTTACGTAAGCGCACGCTCAGCCAGTAGGCAGAGCCAGCACTGTGAGCTCAGAGTGGAAAGTTTACCTCTGCTGTGCTTTGTGTGCTGCATAGTGCTGTGCTCTTTTAGACTGCGGGCTCGTATATGTCCTGTCATGTCGTCCTACAAAAGCAGCGTGTGTCTAAACGCAGCCAGGAAAGTGGCCGTGTTTGGAGGGACGCACGGGAACGAGATGTCAGGTGTAACTCTTGTGAATCTGTGGATGAAGAACAGCGACGAGATCCAGAGGAAAGGAGTAGAAGCAAAACCTTTCCTAACGAACCCTAAGGCTGTGGAGAAATGTACCAGATATGTGGACACCGATCTGAACCGCGCGTTCACTGCGGAGAACCTCAGGTAAACATGTGTCGGACTGTTTACTGCTCCTGCGCAGGCTGTTCCCGAGAGGAGACAGGGGTCGTATCTACCTCCATACAGTCTATGCCACCGTCACGAATAGCAATCTGGCTTTGAGGGAGATTCGAATGCTCTCCACATATTATTTGCATGTAGGCCTGTGTTTATTATTGACGGGCCATGGATTGAGACGCCCGATGACACAGGCTGGGGAACTGTTCATCGCTTTCTAAATAATAAAATGTGTAGTTTTTCAGTGAAAATGATATTTCATCTTTGTATGGGTCTGCGTTGTCCACGTTATTACCATAGACTGTACACGCCAATAACATGTGAATGCTTGTGTTTACATCAGCCCTGGTCCTGTCCCCTCTGTATCGTATGTTTCCCCGCGTCTCCGCCAATGAGCGGCGAGCACAGAGACCCGCCTCCCGCTGTCTCTGACTGAGGTCAAAACGTGAGCGAAACGTGACCGAGCTGCAGATCATTGATTTTGAGAACTGTTTGTTCGCTGCTTATACGATTGTTGCGCAAATAAAGCAACTGCCACAGTGGTGGGGCACTGGGAATGGCAATGGTTCGCTCTCAATCATTTGCTGAAAGAGCCTCTAGCGAGCTGGAGCTGTTATGTGTCTGTGGGATCTGGGAAAACATTTGTTTTGTTTTATTGCATTAGACCAGTGTCTCCCAAAGTGGGGTCCGCGGCCCCCTGGTGGGCCGCGAGGTACTGCAGGGGGGCCGCGGGAGGTCATAAAAAATATATATATATATATAATTATTTAATGTTAAATTTATAATGTTTTGTTTGCAATATTAAAATATTTGTGTTCATTATTTGACTTGAATAATCCACTGTAATCATTTTTGTATTACAATGTTTGTAGCAGAGGCTATTTCCCCAAAATAAAATAACCAGAAGAGCCTATTCTTAATGTTGTCTTCTTAGTTATTATTTTGGGGGGCCACGCAGACCCGTCAGATTTTTAAGGGGGCCTCGGTGTTACTGAGTTTGGGAATGGCTGCATTAGACACTGGAGCTGTTCTCAAGCAGTAGCCTTCAACTGCAATTGTCTTGATAGAGGCTATGGATTATTAATTCATAAAATTCTCTGACAGCTTGACCGTACACCAATATTAGTTGTACATTAGTTGTCTCTATACTCATGTTGACCTTTGTACCATCCGTTCACTACTGGATTATAAGAAGATTAGTCTGTTGACCAAGCTCCACACAAGGATGTTAGACCTAAATAGAATTTAGTTAGTGAGCACTTTATCAACACACATACATACTTATACAGTCTATGACACATACACGCACACCCATGATTAACAAAAAACAATAGTGGACAGGTTCAAAATAGGACTACCATGAAGACAATATGAGCCGGACAGGGTCCCCTGTAGTTCAGAGAATGTCCTAGATTGGGGGCCTTCAGGGATGTTCTTGTTTTTGGCCGGTGACACATGGCACCCATAGCAGCCTATTAAAATGCTGCATAACAGCCTTGTAATTGTTATTCCCCTCAGGCTTTCTTGTGTTTTTATTTCAACTTCTTTAATTTTTGCATTGATAGTGGCCCTGGTG